GTGTTCACATGGCACTTTTGTAGCCAGTGTTACAAGGTATTTACATTCCAGATATGCTTAACATTCGTATGCCCCTTCATGCTTCGGCCACCATCCCAGAGGACATGCTGCTGATGCTCATTTTAAAAAAAAAGTGTTAATTAAATTTGTGACTGAACTCCTTGGGGGAGAATTGTATGTCTTCTGTTCTGTTTTATCCACATTCTGGCATATATTTCATGTTATAGCAATCACAGATGATGACCCAGCACATGTTGTTTGTTTTAAGAACACTTTCACAGCAGATTTAGCAAAATGAAAAGAAGGTACCAATGTGAGATTTCTAAAGATAGCTACAGCAGTCGACTCAAAGTTTAGGAAACTGAAGTGCCGTCCAAAATTTGAGAGGACCGAGGTATGCCGCATGCTTTCAGATGTCTTAAAAGAGCAACACACAGAAGTGGAAACTACAGAACCCGAATCACAAAAAAAGAAAATCAACCTTCTGCTGGTGGCATCTGACTCAGATGATGAAAATGTTCATGCGTCAGTCTGCTCTGCTTTGGATTATTATCGAGCAGAACCCATCATCGATGCATGTCCTCTGGAATGGTGGTTGAAGCATGAAGGGACATATGAATCTTTAGCGCATCTGGCACGTAAATATCTTACGATGCCAGCTACAACAGTGCCATGAGAATGCCTGTTCTCACTTTCAGGTGACATTGTAACAAGAAGCGGGCAGCATTATCTCCTGCAAATTGTAACCAAACTTGTTTGTCTGAGCAATTGGCTGAAATAAGACTGAGTGGACTTGTAGGCTCTAAAGCTTTACATTGTTTTACATTGCAGTTATTTGTTTGTACATAGTTCTATATTTGTAAGTTCAACTTTCATGATAGAGATTGCACTACAGTACTTGTATTAGGCAAATTAAAAAATGCTGTTTGTTTTTTACAGTGCAAATATTTGTAATCAAAAATAAATATCAAGTGACCACTTTTGTGTTGTGTTGTAATTGAAATCAATATATTTGAAAATCTAGAAAGCATCCAAAATATTTAATATCGTGTTCTATTATTGTTTAACAGCGCAATTAATCATGATTAATTTTTGTAATCACTTGACAGCCCTACTTCTGGCTGTAGCTGATTATTGGTAGTCTGCATAAGTCTATCTTGATCTCAATAACTGAAAGATTAATTTGGAAATAGTACTAAAGTTAAGAAACTTGGTGTCATATTTGATAACACTTTTCCAAGAAAGGACCAAATGTGGACTTGTTATAAAAAATATTTGTTGTCCAGACTGTGCTTTTGATTTATCCTACAAGACACAGCATGTGCCCCTGGCACCACAAGACTTGATTGTCTCTTTGCAGAGTAGCTTCTGGATCTTGCTCAGAATGCAGCTGCGCTATTAATCGCTGGTAGGGCTTAGTACTCAACAATTTCATGGCTATTGAACTTGCCACCAAATTCAGAACTGAGCTCAGTTGTTGTTTTTTTTTTTTAAACTTTCATCTAAAAAATGTTAGGCTTCTAGCCCTTGTGACTGAAGTGTCATGAAACACTAATTAAATGTCAGTGGGGTCTTGCTAAGTCTAAAACAATAACCGAGGTGTGAGCTTCCCCGTTTACCTCATTTGGGTCGACTCTGAAGCCTACTGATTGTAATTTAAATGTCAGATTAAATAGTTCTTTTCTATTTTATTAATGTTTAGCCAAGTGTTTCTGATAAATTAAGAGCCAGTATACTAATCCCAAACTGTCTGCTACATATTCTTTGGTGTCAAAATCCCCAGCTTCCCCTCCTGATCTGCTACACTCTCCAGTAGCCTTGACTGCTACACTGCCCTTATGAAATGTTGGTACAAAAAGCACATTGGAAATCTAGGAATAAAGTAAAACTGAATTTAATATCAAATTAATAGGACAGATACTGATCCAACTGCGAATATGAAAACCTGTTTGTTAAGCTTATTTGACGTTTCTGCAGAATTTTCAGTCTTGCCAGCAAAGCAGGGGTCCTTGGTGATAAACTTGAATCCAGCTTGCTACAGGGTTTTGTTCACTGGTTTAAGCATTAAAAAATATAAGTATTGTTAGGTAACTGATTGCTAGAGTTTTCCTTTAGGCCAAAAGTGTTTTTACTACTTGGTGAGATTCCCCTAAAGAACATGGCAGCATTATGTGCTACTCTAAGCAACGGGGTAGCTTGGATTCACTGTACTCTTGGGGTGCAAACTGTGTCAAAACTAAAGTCCAATTGAGCTGAACTTCACAGAGCTAGTCTGAGTTAGCTGTAAAGATCACATCCTGGAAATGGAGGTTTTGTTTATTGTATAATATAATCCTACTCCCTGGGAATAGTGCAGTGTAGGAGTCAGAAGATTACAAATGCATAAGATGGCCTCTGGTAGGGGAAGATTCCTGAAGCACCAAAGCAGCCTTGGGAAAGTAAGTAGGTCGATAACTAAAGCTTTGGTGGGGATGGACTGAAGAGGTCGGTGCTCAGCACAGGCCTGACCTGCATCTCGTAAAGCACTGTACTCTTAGCAGAGGGATTGCTGCTAGAGAGGAGGCAGGAGCTTTTTATACAGGAGGTCAGACTAGAAGATGGCCTTGGAATATATGAAAATGTCATAACCACACTGAGTGTCAAGCACCAGACTGCAGCTTCCCCACTTGACTCCAGCAGGGGTTGCAGGCTGGTTTTAAAGGAGGGAAAGTGCTCTGTGTGTGCTCATACCTTGTGGGAACGGGTAGTGCTGTGAAAGGAAACAGGATATAAGCATTAATTCAGTTTGCCATTGTGTCGTAGGGGCGCTGTACAGTGCGTATACAATCTTTTAAAGAGAAGGATCCCATACACTGGAGATGAGGGTCTGGTCCTAAGCTCGGAGCACTGCAGAGGCAGTCCTTTGCTCTTCAACAGCTCACACTATTTGATGTGCTCTGAAGGGATACGTGCCAAGAAGAGAGGACCTGTGCATTGGGGCAGACTGGGAGTGAAAGCAGGGGGAACTCTCTGTGAAACGTTTTTCTTCTTCCTTCACTTGAGCTCTCAGGGCACAAAAGTTCCATGAGAGGCAGAATTACGCCATTTAATTCCAAGCATCGTTCTTCAGCTTCTGGGAAGAGAGACTGGCAAATATTCCCCTCCCATGAAAACCAGTGAGCACAGCCTCATTGCTTATTATGGAAAAAAGGGAGGTAACTCCGCTACCTCAAAGCATCTGGAAAGAGAAGTCTTGAAACCCTGTATTAAAGAAGGGCCAGCTCTAGGTTTTTTGCCACCCCAAGCAAAAAAAAAAAAAAAAACCCTGGGAGCCCAACTGCCGAAGCAAATAAATAAATAAATAAAAGCTCCGAGAGCGCAGCTGCTGAAGACAAAAAAAAAAAAACAACTCGGTGTGCCGCCCCTGGAATTCTGCCGCCCCAAGCACGTGCTTGGTTTGCTGGGGCCTAGAGCTGGCCCTGATTAAAGTCATGGGGGAGTGGGTGGGAAAGGAATGGTTCTACTGAAAGTAGAAATGAGACCATAACATGTTGCATTGCCATGAACCTTAAAGCTGTACCTTAGTGGATTATCAACTAGTAGAGTGTCTGTTGGTTCAGAAAGGCCCTGGATTTCCATCTAGCTAGATCATTTGGGCTCATTACTTTTTCTTGTCTAGAATCTCCGTCCCTTCAGTTTTGCACTTGTCTTTTCCCTGCTATTTTGCTGTGCCCTGTGTGCTGAGGGAGGCACTTTAGTAAAGTCCAAAGCTCACTGGAACACCACATGTAGGATTATAGTAACCTTCACGTTCTGGGTCATTGTAAGCAGTGTAAGAGGTAGAAGAAAATGTTAGAGGACAGCCAGTTAGGAAAACTTTAACTCTTTCTGTACCCTTAAGATGTGGTGTTCCAGGCCAAGAATACCTTGTGACCTTTTGGGTGCATATGGTAGATCATGCCATGCTTCCTATGTTTGCTGCATTCAGTGTGGTCTGTGACAATAGTGGGCTTGCTCTGAATTAGTGAGGGAAAGGAGCAAATCTACAGAGCACTTGAAGTGTTTGGAATGGAATTTTTGTGCTCTCTGCTTTCCACATGGTAGAAATTGAGTTGGCTTATTATCAAGATCGCATTAGAAGACTCATGGTAAATTCATGGGATACTGTGATGTCATGATGTTCTGTCTTGTAGACTAACTCAACTTACCTTTGTTTATCTGAGTTAACACCACAAGATTATAGGAATAAATTGGTTTATTTCAATCCACATCCTTTAATTTCATCACTTTATGATTACAAGTTGAAGAACAAACTTTATTGTACACAGAATTTCTCCTGCCAAGGGTTGTAGATTTGAAGTCATTGGGGCTTCTTAGAAGACTCTCCCCCGCTTGAGCCTTCTGTCCTTTGGATTTATGCAACCCGATCCTATCTGTAAAACCAAAATAACCTCCCCTTTGCCCACCCCATCCCAACCACTTGAAAACTTTTCTGGCTCCCCCAGGCTTTCAAATTTAAATATCAAGAGTCTTACGTTTCACTCACCATACATTGTCCTTTCCTTCCCCCTCCTCCTAAAGAAAACTGATTTGGATGCAGTAGCCAAAAAATAAGAAAAGGGTTTGAAGAATATAGATTGAAAGCAAAAATAAGGATGGGTTTTTTATTGTGGTCGTAAATTCTCAAGCCAGTCCTCCATGATCTTGTTATAATAAAGGAAATGATAGTTCAGAAGAAACTCTTGCTATTTTAATCTAAGAAGGAGGAACTCAATATCTGACTCCAAAATAATTCGTGTTTTTTGGAGTTTTAACTGTTGGTGTGAAACATTCCCCTGGGTGCCCCAAGAAAGAAATGTGAGGTACTGGCAGTGCTCTCTTTATGGAGGAGTTTAGGAAACTAACACTTTCTGTTTCTTATAGAGTCCAGAGGATGCTCTTTTCACCATAGCCAAAGCCTTTTTAGATAGGTTCCCATTATCCGCTCTCTTCTTTGTTGAATGTATTCTTTCCCATTTCAGGTCAGCCAGAGCAGCATTACCATGATGTCGTCTCCGTCACCTGTCCAGCAAGCGCAGACACCCCAGTCAATGCCACCACCTCCTCAGCCACAGCCATCACCTCAACCAGGGCAGCCAACTTCTCAGCCAAACTCGAATGTCAGGTGAGCCAGAATGTGACCACCTGAGGTGCGTGGTAGCTGCAGATGCTCTCACCAGATGGTGATGAACATGACTGGAGGTTAAAACAAAGTTGTCATAGGTGCTTGCCTTGGTGCACTTTCTAGTGGGGAGTCCAACCCTAGTGATGCCCTGAGGTCTTGGGCTGTCATGTCATAGGAACTTGGAGGAGTCATGCTCATATTGCTATCCCCTCCCCATTCACCTTCTCTGAGGCTACTCTGTGTGCAGCCACATACAGATACTCCCCGGATTACTGTGGCTTAATGGAAGGAGGGAGTTAAAGGATTGGATGGGATGTCAGAAGCAGAAGGCAATGGCCCCTAAATCCAAGGCTTCTGGCCCCTAAATCCAAGGCTTCTGCGTGGTCTGCAGAAAAAGGCCCCATCATGCTCCTGGGTTGAGGGGGGAGTTATTCAGAGACCTCTGGAGTTACTAAAGACCTACTAACAAAATTCAGTCTTGCTAGAGTGAGTCTCTCCCACTAAGTCAAAATTCAGTGGTGTTAGTTTTGGAATCTTTACTGAATGCTGTAATCAAACCTTTCTGGCAGGGATTCTGAATCTTTACCTTGCAAGAGTGGTGGTGAAACTGACAAAAAACTGGGTTAGTCTTAGATTGTAAATTTTGGGGGGGAAGAGACCTGTTTTTGCTGCACCTAGCAGCACAGTGGGCCCTGATTCTGATTGGGGCCTATGGGCAGTACAGTGATATAAGGGTGGGATTTTCAAAAGTGTTCAGCTTTAGCCTAGCCTCACTCCCATTGAAATCAATGAGATTTTTACAACAAACTTCACTGGGAGCAGAGCAAGTCAATGCCGAGCACTTTTGTAACTCCCACTCCAGTGCAGCTGGGTGCAGAATGCTGCAGCAGCACTCAGTAAAACGTACCCGCTCAGACTAACCATTTCGTCTGCTAGCTTCTTACAGGCCACTTTGTCTTCGTATTAAGCGTTGAATTGACTTTCATTTCCATTCTTCAGCTCCGGCCCAGCCCCATCTCCCAGCAGCTTCCTCCCCAGTCCATCTCCTCAACCATCCCAGAGTCCAGCAGCTGCACGAACACCACAGAACTTTAGTGTCCCATCTCCAGGTCCTTTAAACACTCCAGGTAACTCATATTGTCATCAATAAGAACTGTACTGTGGAGCATGATCCAGTGATGCATCTTAATAACTAAAACATACACAGAGAAATCGGAGGTTGCACGATTATGCCCTTGGCTCTACGGAGCTCGACCAGCGAGTAGTAGTTCAGTGGTGGACTTGCCATGTGCAGCAAGGAGAATATTCTAGTTTTGGAATTGTCTGATCTCATTTTTTTTGTCATTGAATTACATGAGGGTTTTCATAACTTTCTGACAAAACAGAAATGGTAACCAGAAGGGGATGTAAAGGTCTGTTGGCTCTGGGGTTTCATGCAGCTGGAAATCGCTAGCAACAGTTCATAAGCCAATGTCCTGCTTTTTCTGACCCCTTCTGACATGTGATGTATAATCTTCACCTTTTTGCCTGGTGCAGGAAATCCAAACTCCGTCATGAGTCCAGCAAGCTCCAGCCAGTCAGAAGAGCAGCAGTACCTGGAGAAACTCAAACAGCTGTCAAAGTACATCGAGCCACTTCGGAGGATGATCAATAAGATTGATAAAAATGAAGGTGTGGCCCCTTGTATTTTTACTGGACAGTTCTCCCTGTCAGCCTTTGGTGGAGACAGCTGTGTACTGCTCTTTTAGGGGTTCTGGCGGACTAAGCCTATGTCTGTTGTTTTCCTTGCTCATGGTTGCAAAGACTTAACTCTGAAGCATGGCAACCTTTTCATCTCCAAATCCCTTTCTTTCAGGACCTCAAGAAGCAACAGAGGGTCCAGGACCCTCTGTTGCTTTTTACAGATTCAGACTAACACGGCTACCCCTCTGGTACTTTCAGGACCTCTTTTTCTTTACCATATCTAAACTTTTTTGGATACAGACTCTTCCTTATGAAAAGATGGAGAATCACAGGTCTTTACTACTTTCTCCTTAGATGGGTCATGTTTTCAGTTTTCCCACCCTCCTTTTTCTGTGTTAATGACTGCAGAGCTGGAAGCTCTGCCTGCAATGAGTGCATTGCTCACTAGTCCTTTTCATCTTATTTCAGATAGGAAGAAGGACCTGAGTAAGATGAAGAGCCTCTTGGATATCCTGACTGATCCTTCAAAACGGTAACTTCCTTTTCTGTTTAGCTTGTGCCAGCACCTCCCCCAATGAACTCTCTTCCTCCCAAACCCACTCTCAGGAATATGAGAGACTACGTAGGCTACCATGGAGTCCCAGATGAGTAGTGGTATCCCAGACATCAGTCTACCATCCTGCAGCAACATGTTGTATCTAGACAGTTCTCAACTCTAATCTGAATTTCCTTGTTTTTGCAGACCCTCAGTGTTGTTGTATCACTGACTTTCTTTTATGTTGAGAAATGGTGGGCAAGAGATTTAAATTTCAGAACCCTTTTTTTTTTTGCTGATTCATTCTAAATTCTGTGTTGCAACTTCTACCTAGGAAGCTGTGCAAAATCCTGCCAAAAGATTTTACAATGTGATGTCCCCTAAGACCAGGGTGGATTTGATTTAAATCATTAGTCAGGAAGACGCGATTTAATCATGGATTTCTACATAAAAGTGCATTCTTGTTGGTTGTTATAACTTAATACATATTCTTCACCACTCGGAGATGGATATATTTCATTTTTAGAAGATACATTTTTAAACAGTGATTTATTTTGAAAACTTTTCAGATTAGTTTTACAGCTATATCAGAAAATGAATGGTTGGTTGATTATTTCATTTACCAAAGGTAATTGAAGCAGATAGTTCACCTCCCAATGACTTCATAAATATCTCAAATTCAACAGGTTAATCATTAATATTTGGAGGATTTTCTTGCCATGCTGTATTGGGAGGAGAACATCACCAGACAGACATTGAAATTGTTTTATTTAACAACAACGTTACGTATTTTGGATTTTTTTCTTCAACAGCAAACATATAATATTTTAACAAAACAAGCATATGTCCCTCACTTCTCACATTTATCTCCAGACTTCTTCCCCTTGTCTAGATCTATTCTGCCTCCAACAATCTTCTATTCATTGAACTTTTTGAAACTTTGCACTTTTAGAGAGAGGTAAGGGATTGACTCTGTGTACACAAATTTGCAGAGGGACAATAGAGTTGAGGTCTGTTATTTCTCACCTCTCTCTATATATTTATTTATTTAAAAACTTTTTTTTTTAACATTGTTAACAAGCAGGTTATCTTTGGAGATACAAATCCACAGTTTGAGAACTGCAAAACTAAGCATCTCTGATGGTATCTTCTAGACGGAGTCCCATTGGGTAGATAGAAAGATTAACCTAAATAATCTATACAAAAGCCTGTGGAACCCCATAAGATTGGGTCCGTAATCCATGAACTGTTGGAACTCATTTATTAAACTTTTCTTAAACATTACATGAATATATTGTCTCTTACTATAGAATTAGAATTTATAATCTCTAGTCTATGATGAGAGATCTTTGAGCTATAATGTATCTTAATTAAAACTGTCTTTAGATAGGCTTTTTCCTCAAAGCATTTTATCAAAAAATCTGATTTTAAATAAAAAAAAACAGATTTTTTTTAATCATTAATTTTTATCCACCCTGCCGAAGATGTAGTATTGGATCTTTTGTTCACAGTTTCATAGAAAGCTATTCAGTAAACTGATAAATCAGGTGTGTTTTATTTGCTGTAATAGTCTATTTGAGCTAATTGAAATGATTGGCGAAATTCACCTGGGTTAACTTTTATTTTGCTGAAAACAATCAGCTCTTTTTCACTGAGACATAGGTGTATTCATTCTTTCCTTCTCCATTAAAGTCCCTCCTTAATATATGCCCTTCAGCAAAGCCATTCAAGGATCCAAATAAGTTATTTAAAAATCTAAGTACTTTGTGATTGGACCTTTTATTTGCCAGAATGTTAGGTTTGAACCTTGTGATCTAACTTAGAATTTAAGCTCCCTGAGGCAGAGCTATAGTTCCTGTTTTGAACAGCACCCAAGCTTATCAAAACTGAAATAATGTGGATGGGAGGCTCAGATATGACAAAATCCTCATCTTGGACAGCAGAGCAAATTGTGCTAACTCTTTCCTCTTCCTTTTCAGATGCCCTCTGAAGACTCTACAGAAATGTGAAATTGCTCTGGAGAAGCTCAAGAATGACATGGCTGTGGTAAGCAATGGGTTTACTTTTCATCTTACTGGAGAGTTAGGCTGGCAGTGAATTCCACAGAGGGCACCAGTTTGGCAGAAATTTCCCATCTCTTTGTGTTCACAGTGCTGGACTGAGCAAATAAACAGAAAACTGGTTAAACACTGGGCCATTCAGCAGGCGTGTCCTTGTGCACACCTCTTAAAAATTATTCTGCTTACTGAACTGTCAGGTATTCGTGCCTTGTACTCCACCTAGGTATGATCCTTGTTCTTGTCTTTAGCAGATGTCACCAAGACAGGATTTCTACATGAAAGATACTGACAGTGTCGATTTTGTTTACTATGGGTTTATCTACATGGGGACAGTCAGAAAAATTAATCCCAATTACTTAAAAGTGTGAATGCAAAAATAGATCAGTTAAACTGCATTAAACCCCTGTATGGACACTCTCGTTCAGAATTTCATTTAGCTTAATTCACTTTCAAAGTTTAATTCTGAATGAGTGTACCCATGTAGTGGATTAATGCAATTTAACCAATCTATTTCAGATTCACAGTTTAGTTCATTTGGATTTACTTTACTGCTGGTATACGCAGGGATACTTAGGAAGTGTTTCTAGAGTAGCACAAAACAGAGGTTAGAGGAATGCAAAGGATTCTTAAATGTATTAGAAATACTGTAGTAAAAGTTTGCATAATGAATAATATAACAAGGTGTCTTGCAAGGACTCTTTGTGACTGATAGCACATAAAATAAGATGTGCTTCTTTGTGCTTTAGCCCACGCCTCCACCTCCACCAGTGCCCCCTACCAAACAGCAGTACTTGTGCCAGCCACTTTTGGATGCTGTCTTGGCAAACATTCGTTCACCAGTCTTCAACCATTCCCTCTACCGTACCTTTGTGCCAGCTATGACTGCGATACATGGCCCTCCAATCACGTATGTATCTTTGCCCTGCTGTCTGACTACTTAAGAGAAGTTAATCATTTGGTTGAAATGTTGGAAGGATGGGCTGCGGTGATGGATATATGCATGCTTCCTTTTCATCTGTAAAGTACTTGAGAAATCAACTTAGTTTGAAAAATGTGGACTTGGCATAACATGGTGCCCACTCTGAGTTCTTTTGTGGATGTATTTTACGCAGGGCCCAGATGGCTTCCCCTCGAAAGCGTAAATATGAAGAGGATGAAAGGCAGACCATACCAAATGTATTACAAGGGGAAGTCGCAAGATTAAATCCTAAATTCCTGGTGAATCTGGATCCCTCCCATTGCAGTAATAATGGCACAGTCCACCTCATATGCAAGCTAGGTAAGCTAAGAAGAAATGAAGCCTGTTTTCAAGAGGTGTTGATTTTTTTCCCCCCGGTGAATATGTACAGCTGTAAATCTTGCCAGCCTATAATTTCATCATGGTTTTTCTTTAGCTTGCCAGAGTTGTGGTAATGCAGAATGTGCTATCCTGCAGGGATTGGTTCAGGAGCAGCTGCAGGATGTACCCCAGAACAAGTAGCTAGATATTTAATCCACTTGCAGCTTTTTTAGAAAGTGGGGAAATGATCTTTCTAAAGCTAAATTATTCTATGTTCTTCTGCACCCCCCCATCCCTAGTATCATGATGTTGACACTAAAAGAAGGCAGTATTTTAGGCTAGTCTCTGAATAAAATGCTGTTTTTTTAAACTGAAATATTAGTGGTTTTTGTAGCTCCATGTGTGCATTTAATTGGTTCCCTAAATTGGGATCCAAGCAAACTCTCCAGGTAATCTGAATTCCTGATAGTATGAAGTGGCCTATTTATAAACATATCTACATTTCTCTCTCCTTGTATTTCAAGAAACTTGCTATTTGGGATGTGAGAAATAAATTGGACTTGTAGGTAATTGTTGCCAGTGTGGAAGAATCCCAAGAGTGAAACAGTACAACTGGATCTTGTTAGATTTCCTCTCCACAGATGAAAAATCCTGCCTCTTGCACTGATGGGTGCAGTTTGCTGATAATTCCTCACCCTTGGCTCAAGCTCCACTGGTGTTAGAAAATGGTTTAATGCCTAGTGTAGTCAGGACAAAAGTTTTCAGCACCCTAAAACATGGTATTGGGACATAGAGGAACTGGATCTGTCTAATTGTATTGAAAATGTCTTTCCCAGCTGCACCAGCAGTTGTCACAGCTGGTGGTGTGAGTGGGGAAGTGTGTGTAAGTCTTTGCCCTTCTCTCTCAACCAAGCAAGAATGGAGTATACCTTCATGTGAACTTGTTTTCCCTTTGGACAGAAAAAGGTAAAGTGGGTTCATTTTAGTGTGTACCAGACAAAACATGGGAATGCTCTGGTCCTGGCTTACATGTGTAGTAGGAACAGTGCCTAGACATTTTGTATTTAGGAAACCAAACTCAAATGAAGTACACCTCATGAAAGACTGAGACTGGTGAGATGCGTGGGGTGTGTTGTGGAGCTGGGAGTTCCAGGTTGCGCTTCCAGCAAGCCGAGGCCATTTTTAAAGTGAGCTTTTCAGAAATGAAGACTCATAGCCTTGGTTCCATTCAAGATTAGATCTAGTCCCTCCCTGTCCATTCCAGTATATAATGTATAGACGTAGGGAAAACACCACACAAGACATACTTTGATGCCCTGATGGAAAATATCTTTTGTTAAAGTAAATGTGTTTGAATTCTAGATGACAAGAACCTTCCAAATGTCCCGCCACTACAGCTCAGTGTTCCAGCTGACTATCCAGATCAGAGCCCTCTGTGGATAGACAACTCTCGACAATATGGTATGGGGACAATAGGATGGCATCACTTTAAAAAGTGGGGGGATCAATACGTGATATTCAGTTGTTGTGCAACTGTGTTTATCTGGGCTGTCTCCTTTTTCTTTTCCAGCAGCCAATCCCTTCTTGCAGTCAGTGTATCAGTACATGACATCAAAATTGCTGCAACTTCCAGACAAGCATTCAGTCACAGCACTCTTAAACACCTGGGCACAAAGTATCCGTCAAGCCTGCCTCTCTGCTGCATAACTTCCTTCCCTTGTGAAATCATGAAGCAAAGAAATTGGGTCTCGACAGCTGGCCTCTCCCATGGCCACTGGAAGAATCACAGGCATTTTGGGAGGGAACTTCAGAAGAAAAAGCCTTATACTGTTTTGTTTCTAGGTGCCAGGTTCAATAGGGAACCTGGTGTTAGATTTAGATTTCATGCTTTTATCTTCTGCCTTTGTGGACTTTGCCAGCATTTTCACATATACAGAACATGTATATATGGTTCTTGAGACTGATGTATTAGGAGGGGCTTTTATTGTCTTCTTAGAGAAGAAATTATTTGTAGACTTCCATCAGGGAGTCTGAATGGTATAGAAAGGAGAGGGGAGAATGTCCTAATTTGCTTCAGACTTTGCCTGATGCCAGTATTCCTCACACTCTGTATGTTGTGTGACTTGATATTGCCCCAAGAATAAATTAGCTGCAGCTAGAATGTGCTCACAAACTTCCCTATGGTTGCAGGAGTCTGGTAATTTAATTTGGAGAAAGGGGAGAAATCGGGGCCTTTTTAGGGCATCCCTAATGCGTCAGATTAATCTGAATAATTCTGTTTAGGAGGAAAAACAACCATAGGAAAAATTTTATAGCTTATTTTAAACACTACTTTGTATAAACGGTTTTTGGTTAGCACGGACCATGCATTTCTCACTCTTAGAAAGTTGGATGATCTGAAGGAGGGGTATTCAGTGTGCATGCTGACTGATTTCCCTGTGAACTCCAAGTGTGTGTGCAGGGAAAATCAATTGATTGACTCATAGCAGCACTGTAAATGAATCCAGCAGGCTGCAGCTACTTATCTGCATTTATATTTACCAGGGGAATTGCATCTTACCTGGCATTTCTCTTGGGTGTTGGCTTCCCTGGGGAGTGATGCAACTCATGGGAAGTGTTTGCATATCCCACTCGCATCTCTTTGTTTAAAAAAACTGAACACAGCTCAGGTCTAAGACTGACAATTGACCTTACGTGCCTTGGGCACTGAGGGACACCCAACTGTAAAAGTATTACTGGTCATCTCAGTTAGGATCACAAGACTGATGGCAGCTGCTGTGTTGTGAGGCAATGCGAATAAAGTAACTGGTTCCATACACAGTGTGATTACATTTCAGTTTGCCCTATCTTTGTAGTTCATTCACTCTCAGTTCCTGCGTGTAAGGGAATTTCAAAGTCTCAAGTATTTCCATCACACCCTGCTCCATCCCCCAGTATTGTGCAACAGTCCCTGACAAGTAGCTGGACTCTTACAGTGGTGTCAAGAAATTGCTGTGACCTCTGTAAATCTGTGTGGTGTCATCAGTTTTAGGATGTTTTAAAATGTGGGTACTTAGTAAGCACTGATTGAGGCAGCCGAGTGGTATCAATATTTTGTACATGAACTAATGCATTATCTGTTTGTTTTATCGTAATAAATTTATTATTATTCCTGTGTTTGAAACTAACCTACTATCATTCCAATGTTAGTCCTTGGGCAACAGCTCTGCAGTGACCAAAGGCTGGTGCCTACTTCATATGTCCTATTGGGAGCTGAAATCTCTGCACCCAGAAGTGAGGGAGGAAAAATTGCATCTGGCACTACATTAGTTGTCCCATGCTGCAGAATAGCAGCCAAGTTCACCATCAACTGGAGGAGAGGTTCAAAAGATTGCTAAGGGAAATATTATATAGAGGTGAAAGATTTTTAATTTAGATCTAGCCAAGATCATTACTAACTTAATACCATGAGATGGGTGTCCAGGTGCTTTTGTAAAATGGGTTAGTGGACAGATGTTCATATCATAAAAGCCAACATCTGTTTGTTTCCCTGTTGCACAGTCAGGTGAGAAGACAAGAATGAACACACACACACTCCTTTTTAGATATTTTTAAGGAGCCTATCACTGTGATGTTGACAATCGTAGGTCTGCTCCACTGGGGATAAGGTTGTGATGCATATCAGCAGCCTGGTATAGGGAAATCTTGCATACTTACTGTACACACAATATTTGTTTTCAGAGCAGTCAACCCACTATGTTGCCATGAGTTGAATGGAAACTAGCCCATAGCAAAGATGAAACAATGGAATGTTATAGATTCTGAGTAAAAAGTGTGCAGCTAGAGCAGAGTAATATGACTCCCCCCATAGTTTCAACTGCCCCTTTGCTGCTGATCAGTCCTATACCCGCATCAAAAAAAAAAATTCTGATAAGACTACTGTAAATTCAGCTCAGTTCCCATCTAACATCTCTGCAGAGCTGTGAAATCTTGTCCTGCCAGGTAACATGATGTAGCATGTGGCTTCCAGCCTTTCCACTGATGGATTAGCAGTAATCTAGTGTTATCTGTAAAACTGTGCAGCCCATACCTGCATAAAAATAAATGTATGCTGCTTTAAAATAATCTCTGACAAACTAAACAAGTTTGTGGGATACAGCATTGACATGCTTAAAAGTGATAAGCATCCAATTTCCTAAACCGTAATCTCTTACAGGCTTTCATCATTACGTTAACTCACAAAATAAACATCCTGAAGGAATAAGGGGAGTGGTACCCATGGAAATCATTGAAGGAATGAAGCAAAGCTGCAACAATAGAAGCATAAACTCTTTGTTCTTGAATAGAAGACAGTGATTTCATCATTAATTTTTACTTGAAGTGGGGAGATAATAGCAGCAAACCAACCTATGTTGAAACTACAATGTAAACTCAAACATATACGGGGAGTGCTGTAGCCACTGGAACACTTAAGGAGAAATCTGGAATGCAGTTGCTGAACAACCAGATTAAAGCACAGTGCGACGAAGACGGCTTCTTTGAATAGCTTGGGTTCTCTTCTGTCTCTCAGCAAAACTGTTTCCCAGTGTTTGCTTCAGTGCTGGCAGAACTGCCCTTTCAGCAGCTGGCAGTGGAGTTAAAATCAAACTGGAGATAAGAGTTGGAGAGAGGAATGATCAGTAATGTGGTGATTTTAAATCACTTTCTCTTTACCAAGGTCTACTGGATTAGGGTCACCCTCCACATTAGTCACCCCAGTGATTCTACAGGATGGATGGACTACCCTCCACAATGCTCTGTCCCAGTGATTTTAAATTTCTCTAGTAAGAACTCTCCCTAGCCTTCAGAGTGCTTACATTATTTTTCTAGTAAAGTGAGGAAAAGCGATGGCTTTCAGTACAGTTTCATGGGCTGGGAGGGTGTGTGGGGCCCTTCTGCTAGTGAGTACCCCGTCACCATTAGGAGGCATAGCAGCTTTTTTGATAAGAGTCCTTCCGCTAGACATAGTTCCCCATCTGTAAAATGCAGGTATTGATACTGACTTTTGTAAAATGCTTTGAGATCAACATATGAAAAGCGCTGTGTGAGAGAGAGATTATTTTAAGTGTGAATGGCTCATTACCTGCCAAATTTCAAGTTCAGGATTCTGTTTTCCTGTAACACTGAGTGCATGAAGCTGGGTTTCTTCCTTTGCTTTGACTAGCTGAAAGCACATGTTATAGGAGACACTAGTCCTGTCTTCAGGGGTCTAATAAGCAGCTAAAGGAGGGACCTGATTTTTTTTCAGTACCAAAAAACCCCACAACTTCCCTGTTTCATGAAAGAAGTGAGATCCTACAGTTTAACTTGCAGAAAAACCTTAATAAACATTGTTCACTTCAACTTTTAAAGGGACATAGCTGTATCTGTCACCTGTGTTTTTTAAATAGTGTTTGAGTTGTGCTTGCAGCATCTGCATGAAAAGATGTATTAAGGGTGGAGAGTTCAGAATTTTATTCCTCCTATTATCTCATAGGTGGGGAACTTTAATTGGCTCTGTTATCTTGACAGCATCTTGGAATGGAGAAAGCCCATGCACAGGATGAGTCCTGGGCTGAGCTATTGTCTTCATAAAAGGGCTTGTATGACTTATTGTGTACTTGTTTCTGTGTACTTTGAAGATGGCAATAATCATAGTCTAACCCAGTGATTTGTCTTTTCTTGTTCAAATGACTGGGTAAGATCAGAGTATTGCTTTCCTATTTCCCTTTCATGCAATCCTTAAAAAATAGAGTACTGTTTTTAAATCCCACTGCAATCTAAAATTCAAATTGCTGTGTGACTGATTCCTCAGTGACAATAGAAAAGTTACGTGTGTGTAATCTCATTATGGGTAGAACTTGGCCTTCCATTTGGATTTTAGCAAATAATTCTGAGGTGGGAGCCAGAAAAGAATCTTAATTCATTCTTCCTTCAGCACTGCGGAGCCAACACAGCTAATGGGAGTAAAATATTATTAGCATACGACTCTGAAAATACAAAAGGAAGGTCTGAGTGAAGATGACTTGCTATTTTGCACAGTGGAACCACACTTTAATGTCCTATCTCCTTGAGAGAGGTTTTTGTTGCCTCTGACTTCGCATACCTATAGGATTGTTGCTGAGCTCTGTGATCCTTGGAGAAAAGTGTGTGTCCCTTGGGATGTTTGACAAAGAAGCCCCACGAGGCAATACAGTTCCTATTACCTGAGTCCTGGGTGTAGAACTCTGAAAAGGGGGCTGGTAGTATGGACATGCAAAAGCAACCCTCAAAGAATTAGTAATTAAAACCCTTTGTGCAGCATCCCCCGTGGCTATAGGGCACTGAAAATAAGCCAGGTAGCTGCAGTGATCTCTTCTGAAATCTGACTATCTCTTGAGCAGGGCATATGGATTGATCTTTAGGCAATCATGACCTTAAGAAGTGGGGAGAGTCTTGGGGCTGATGATAATGTTGAAGGTGAAAGATTGGCGGGGGTGGGGGGGCGGGAGAGAGAACCAATAATAGGCTTGTTTTTAACTTTATGATGTAATACTTAATTGCTAAAGGCATCACATGCTTGACTCAACAGCTGATTACATTATAGGTGTAACTAGCATGGCTTTTTCATGAACTGTCTTAAGCTTTAAAGAAAGTAGAATAACTTACCATTTCTTAGATGTACCTTTTAGCATTTTGGGTAATCGTGAAACTTCTTGATTCCTAAATCAAAATATATTTGTAGATATGATTCCTTGGCTACTTCACTCTAGCATAGTAGCAGAGCATTGATGGATTGTGCTGGCCCTGTGTAACTTGCATTTGAAAATAACGTAATAAATCTTGCTGCATGTGAACATTGAGAATAGGAGAAGCTGCATCACAGCATCTGGACAGATCTAGCTCATGTGATAAGCTGGGCCCATTCAATCAAAATGCACCTTAACGCAGCCAAATGCATGGTTATACATCTAGGGACAAAGACTGTAAGCCATACCTATGGAGATTGTATCCTAGAAAGCAATTGCTCTGAAAAGGATTTATGGGTCATGCAATTCAACATGGGGTCCGAGTGCGATCTTTGGATGTATAAACAGGGGAGCAGTAAGTAGGAATGCCTCTGTAAATGGCATTGATGAGACATACTGGCATAGTATGTATAGTTCTGGTGTCCATGAAATTGGAGGGAGTGCAGGAAGGAGCCACAAAAATGATTAGAGAGCTGGAGAAAATGTGAGATTTAAAGAGTTTAGCTGTTTAGCTTCTCAAAAAGACTGAAGTGACTTGATTAGTGTATAAATACCTTCACACACAAAATACCAGCTACTAAAGGGCTCTTTCATTTAGCAGAGAAAGGCAGAACAAGAACCAAGGGCTGGAAGCTGAAGTCAGACACATTTTGTAACAGTGAGGATGATTTAACCATTGGAACCAACTACCAAGGGAAGTGGTGGATTCTCCATGTGTTGATGCCTTTCTGGAAGACATGTTTTAGTCAAACAAGTTATTGGGTTCAATATAGGGGTAACATGGTGAAGTTTAATGGTCTCTGGTATTCAGATCAGGCTAGTTGATCTTTTGGTACCTTCAGAATCTGCACCCCTTGTTAGTTGGCTGCTCCAAATGCTACTCTAACAGACCTACTATCCTTCTAGAGTCTAACTGGAGAACTGTTGTGGGACTAGTACAGGAGGTGGGTAAAAGGTAAGGGAAATCTCTGTAACCCATGATCTTTTTTTGTTGCCCTTGTAATCTCTTGTTCATTGCCTAAACGGCAACAGTTCCTGCCCTGAAGAGCTTACAATGTATTTGTATACCACCTACTGCAATATAGCCATAAACCCAAATGGGGTCTGTAAACAGTACCACCATATAAATAAAATCATTCCTTAAAATAAACATAAGCCTTCAAACCATATAGTCCCTCTGAATCTTTCAGAAATGGGCATACATGGAAGGGTCTGACTTTCAGTTGGATTGAGTAGATTCTGTTAACCATGTGTCTCAACTCCTTCTAGGCTGATAGCTTAAATGAATGTAAGTACTCTGAAAGAACAAACTGACAACCCTGTCTACCTGCACCCTAAGTTTATGGACACATATCTCCAGTTAGGTTAGTGTTGTTAACAGTTGTGTGCAGTAGTCTTGTTATAATATAGGATTTGGCCCCTTGTGTGTAGATGTCTATTAAGTCATATATGTTAAGTCCTCTCAACTCACATTAACAGATTGCATTCTGGAAAGTTTGAGGGGGTAGAGGTGGCTCAAAGATAACTTTCCCTTGTGATTTAAGGAAGGAAGCCATACAAAGTCAAAGCTCGCTAATGGCCTCTATCTAAGCACCTTGCATATGGGCTCTATTCTGCAAATTCACTCCAATACAAAGCAGAAAGGGAACTAGTGAACTCGACTAGAATCTAACAGCTTACCCTTGAGCCATAACTCAGAACAGCTTACCCAATCTGGCTGGCTAGCAGATAGTCTTCAGGAATCCTTTTGTTCTTGTGGATGTCCTCCAGATACGATTTCAAATACATCAGCTGAAGGACAGAGAGGAGAAAATAGATTTTCAGAGGCAAGCAGAAAGGTTATTTCCTATATCACCACAAACTTACTGCATTTTAAAAGCCGTGACTAAAGTAGACTGAGCTGCGGTCAATAGCCTCACCTCTTGTGCCTGCATGTGGTTGATGTTCCATAGCTGGTGAATGACAATCTCACACTCTTCCAATGTAGGTGGTTTCCGGATGTGGGAGGGGAGGACACTCACCAGGAAAGGGTTGGAGGAGGCTGGTGGTACCTGAGCTTGCCCAGATTTAATCTGGCATGGCAGTGAAAGTACTGGAGATGTAATTTTATCAGAGACTTCTCTGTCCTCTCTAGAAAATTGATCACAATTAAGGAATAAAAGAATCACAAGGGAAATGGATTAAATGTCTAAATATTTATTGTATTTACCTCGCCAAAACATTTATCAAACATTTATTAAGACTCTCAAGAGCCGAGGTATTATACTATTTCACAAGTGGGAAATGAAGGAAACATGGCAAGTCCAGGAGTCTTAACTCTACAGGATCACATCCTTCGCTGTAGCTAAACTACTACTTTGTGTCCTCTGTCTCGAATGGTGCATGGCAGTACACTTTATGCCTGAGTTTTTCCTTGGAATTAATTTGCACTTCTGTCTATGCCCACTACAATACACAATGACAACTCAATTGAAGACTTTATCCCCTAAGGGCTTCCTAAGTACCACTGCTAGAATCAGTTGCTCACTAATTTATTCCTAACCCTCCTCAATTTGTATTTGACATTACTTCTATTTCTAAGACATGCAAGGTGCATGTGCACCATCATGGGCTCCACATGGTCAAAGACTCAAAAAAGAACATACACTTACAACCCAGAAACCTCAAATGAGCTGCCTACAATTGCTGTGTGCTGATAGCTTGCTCATACCTAGAAAGAACCTCCTCTTGTGGCTTCTCCACCTTTGGAGGGGGAGGCTCTGGTTCCCCTTGTACCACTTTGACCACCTGTTCTTCTGTATTCAGTTTTTGCTTTTTGGGCTGGTCCATCTGCTGCCTGTTTGTCAGTGAATACCTAGAGCCTGCAGCAGCTGTTAGACAAAATATGAAGGGGAGAGGGAAGAAGGGAGGGGGCATGTGTGTGCACATATCACAGGCCAGAGACTTAACAGCTTGCAGATACAAGCTTTAAGTACCCGCATCTCCACAGCAGTTCAGGGTATTCCATGCTCTTTTATGGTTTTATTTTGTGAGCAATTGAAGAGCTTCATTGTAGTTTAGCTTATTTTAATCCTTTAACACTTAGTGTCAAGAAATCCTATTTTACTATGTTAGCACTAACAACTGTAAATTAGAAGCAACCCAAACTTAGGCTTTGCTCTCCCAATTTCTTAGCAACTCAGTCATAATGTAAAAGGGATTATAAATGTGTGTGTAAGCACACATGATCCAAATAAGAGAAAAACAGGTATACTAGGACTCCTGATCATCATCAAGAGCCTTAAGAAGAGAGATTTAAAACAAATCTTAGAGGGATTCAGACTTTTACATTGTTTCCCGTTTCTATATCTAGGCCTAGATATTTTCATTTAATAATTTATCTTCCCCCCCTTCTCTACTATATCCAGTTACTAGTCCTGCTACCCCCTAAAGTTAAATCTTGCAGTTTTAAGCTATCTTACCTGCTGAACCTTGCCTTGAAAGGAACTTGTCAGACAAGGTGGGAGTTAAATTATCACCTGCAAAGAAGAATAAGTGATGAATTGGGCATTATGATCATAGTACTGACCAGCGAAGAGGCTATATTATCCTCAGTTTAGAATAGGAAACACAGGTAAACTATTTATTTAAAGTCTGCAGAGCCAAGGCGCTCTACATGCAGGACTGCTGAGAGCAACCTGCAATGTAACTGTTTCCCATAGCACCAGAACAGCTGCTTGGTTTAACCAGTGGGAGTGTTTTCTGCACTCAACATGGAACACAATATGAGCACAAAGATCTGGATAAAATCACTGAAGATTGATCTGTAAAAGGGAGGGATGCTCAGGGGCAAGGTTAAGCAACTAGGAACATTGAAGACTGACTGCTGCTTATTGGTGGAGTTTGTCCATCCTTGGTCACAGTAGTTGGCGACTTTAATGGTCATCTCAGCAAGTGGGGTTATGCAATTGCAGACCCAAATGGTGAACTACTGTTGGGAGTGGGCAACAAATAATGATCTCGCACCGGTCCATGATCCTAAGTAGTATGGTATCTTCCATTCAATATGCTGGAATAGGGACTACTGCCCAGACCTGTGCTGGGTCACATCATTTGCCACTCACTCATTAGCCAGTGGCGTGTACTGTACTTAATGATTTTCCACATAGCCAACGCTGTCCTCCGTTGATTCAGATGGGAATGCGTCTTCCATCTGCCAACTATAAGGAGTGTACCAAAGCCTAGATGGAACTTCCAGAAGGCACACTGGGGCTCCTTTACAGAGTACTTAGAATGGAGCGTCATAACCATCCCATTTACCATCTCCAAGGAGATGAAACCATTGTTTCTGTTGTGTCCTTTTTAAAGCTGCAAGTGCAACAATTCCACATGGCTTCCAACCAATGCACATTCCATGTTTGAATGAGGATTGTGCAGACTTGCTGATGCAGTTTGAGCAGTCAGGTGATCCGGAAATTGCAGACCATCTTACAGAATCATTGGATGCCGCTCGCTGGACTCAAAGAGAGGAAGCGACAGCGGTGCTTGACTTTACGTGGTCAAGTCGGAAGAGCTGGAGTTTAATTCGTTGACTAGGTGCGGCTCAAATGCCCACGTACAAAAAGTAGGCCAGCAGTTACTCCAAACCAGATTGCCAGTCATCTGTCGAAGGTTGCCAAAGCTCCTGTTGACAGAGTTGTCAAACGCCAGGTACGTGACAAATGGAAATTTCCTGATCACTCTCCTTATAGTGTGTATGGTAACACACATTGTTTCATGTTCTCTGTATGAGTGTGTGTGTGTGTGTGTGTGTGTGTGTGTATATATATATATATATATATATATATATATATATATATATATATATATA